TGCATATTTAGTCGGGACCGTGCTGGAGGGATCGAGCCGCGGCCAATTAAAATATTTTCACTGGTTATAAGGTCTGTGTGAGGTATCGGTGACGCGCGAACGGCAAGCACACGTCGTATAAATTCGACGGAACGCCACCATTCTAAAATAACAGCCGGCAAGATGTAATATAGCTCGGTATTCGAAATAAAAGCACGCCACGTACAAGAAATACAGGAGGTGGGTTCGCATGGCGGCGAAGGTGTTAATCTTAATCCGGTGACTCTAACGGGGGCCTGCTGGATGAGTTATCGCTGGAATTAAAGCGCGCGAAAATTCATGGCTATGTACAGTTCCCGACCGAGCTCCTCGACCTGGCCGATGCACCCTATAAAATCACTTGGACTGCAACGCGGAGATGGGCGAAATTCCGCTTCGAGTAACGAATGACGAATTAAATCGAAGCTACGGTCATTCATTCGGGTTTAGTTAACAGTTTAACTGCGGATCTGTTGTGGAATTGTCTGCAACTTAGGAGGGCATTTTAGTACATTATTAGAAAGTTTATATCTGTGTTGGAATGAAAGTTTCTTGGAGTTAGTGGTTAATTTTATAGTTTGCAATGCTCTCTTTAAATAGTCATTTAATTCTAAAAAATATTAACGATACCAATTATAAAATCTTAAAAACGTGATGGTAGTTTAGTTATTTAGGTAGACTGATTTCTACAAACTGTTACTACTAGGTAGCAGGTAACTAGGTAACTAAGTATAATTAGATAATTAGCATCGCTATTAACACTTTATCTACATAGAGTCTATTCGTAAGATTTTTAATTTCAATGTTTACATACCGCAACCCATTAACTATGTTGTTGGTTATCTACTTACAATACTCAATTTGAGGAAGCAAATAAGGATTTAATACACCCTGTATGCACAGCATTTATCAGTTTCAGAGGTGAAAACTGTTTCGACTGTTTGGTTCTCTATCTGCAATTAAAATCAGTTCCCACGCGAGCGGAGAAATACCGTTCCACTACAGGAATACAAGAAACACGTTAAACAGTGCGCGTCAAGAGCCTAAGCAGATCTGCCTACTTCTCGCAAACAAGTTTCACGCATCCGTTGCGCTATACGAGTGAATTTATGCATCCGAGTAGATACGTTAATCATCGATCTCTGAAAGTTAAAATAACGTTAACGCGCATCCAGCCTCGGAAACGAGGTGTCTCCGAATACATAATTCGTCGGGTCTTTATTAATTCTCGAGGTCAGTGGGATAATCTCGAAAGTTTTACCACTCGTTTCTAGGACATCCTGCTCATCTAACCGTTACCATGGCGTAAAAGTCGGAGCACATTTGAACGTCGGGGTGCGTTCATACTCGACTCACGTGCAACAGGAGTCCGTGATCGATGATGTCGTCCTTTTGAGCGATGCCGAAAAGCTGGCGCGCCGACTTGCTCCGTGGGCGCGCGCCTTTGAAATTTGTCGCCATTCGTCAACCCAGCTCCAAATTATAATTTGAATTATGGAAGCGTATCGGTTCTATAATCGATGAAAGCATATCTGAGTTAGGAAACGTTTGATTTATCACGATGAAAATATATTTGAATTACAAAGTGATATTAGATTTAATTATGCATCCATAAAAATATACGTTCATCGAACTGAATAAAGAATAAAGCGTGGAATTAATATTTTTCTATTATATTTGAAATAAATTATTTTCAGGAAAGATGTAATTATTACAAGGAATAAATTATCTATCTATGTATATAATTTTCAGTTGAGCAGCTATTAATTAGAATTTTAATCGTTTTTATCACTGATTTTCATATTTTCTTCATTCATTCCACATTCATTCCTACGCGCTTTTGATTTTCCTTGGTACAATACGAGGCCATTACGTCGACTCGCCCGAGCAGCAAACAAAGTGAAGCGAATTGTAAGAAACTTGAGACGTACGTCGGTCTTTAGAATGCAATTTCCGGGAACTGATGCGGGCTAAGGCTGACGTTTATCGGCTCGCGACACGAGCTGCCGTTAAACCTAGTGAAAATTATTGGAATAATTTGCATATCGCGTTAAACTGAATGGAAGAAATCAAGAATCCTTGATAGGGGGTGCTCGTTGGACAAATATTGATAGGATATTGGAACCCAAACTGTGCTAATAATGTTGCCTTTCCGTTATTGATGTGCCCTCTGGGTATTAGGGGAAATTTTAATCAACCATCAAAACAAACGAACAGGTGCAAATCTGTTTCACGAAGAATCTTCGCAACAGTAATTCGTGGAATATAAATTAAAATTCAGAGACATATAACATTCCTGACTCAATCAAATTCACGTTTTTGTTTGTAAGTTTTAATCGTGTTACAGATTGATACAAAAATAAAATATAGTAAAAGAGACCGTCAGTAATAATTATGATGTACAATGAAAGGAGTAATCTTCCTTTATAATTCACACACCCGACAAAATGACAAGCGAACTTCACAATTAAATAATAAATTATACACAAATATAAAAATTTCTAGTTCCATTATACCCCTTCGTGCATTCGTAAAATGTTCATTTCCAGTGTACCTTTAATGAAAGGGAACCTGGTACACTGGATGACGTACAAGCCACAAGCATACGGTAAATTATGTAAAAAAAAAAAAAGAATTAACAAACAGTATTACTACGCTCGCGTTATTGCGCGACAGCAAGCCTCTACAAAGGATTTCATATTCCGAAGATAACGATGTCGTTAATTTAGCGAGACTAGATCGCTAAAATAAGACACTGCGGCGACGTCGTGTCCGAGGAAACGATTCCTCGCGCGATGTCGAGTAAAAGCCTTCTCGGTTAGGCGCTCTTTAATTAGTGCGTACGTCCCAGGGATAACGAAAGGAAAAACGAGGGAAAAAGCTATATAAGCATTGTGACCGGAGAGGTATGCGAGGACTCGCGAATGGACGGACCGCGAACAATGCCAGATCGCGCAAGAGCATCGAGCATTCGAGGGACAGAAACAGCGACAGAGCTCATCTATTATTGGCGCAAAACAGAAATAAAATGCGGTGCGACGGCCTGTGAAACCTGTATGGTGCTCGCGTTGCGCCAACAACTTTTGTCCCGTCTTTCGTGCTTTTCGACGATTCTTTTCCATCTTGCGATCGAATACGCGCACACATGTGCGTTTCTTTTCCTTACGTATCGATAATGCAATTGATATCGTACCTCTACCATCGACGGTATTCACGTGCGACACGTTATTATATATATATTTCGATAAAGGAAGTCCATTAGGGTTTATTGTGGCCATTTAACGCTATAAGTAAGGACGACGCATGGCTGTTAAATTAGATGTAGAAATCAATTATGTGCCTTTATGACGCAAACTTATCATTTATGTATAAAGAAAACCCACACGGCTTTTTATTTTCAAAGCATTCGCCACCACTTCCGATAACGTCGTGCCATCTCTTAGACGATTGCTGAATTCACAGACGAAAACAAAATGGCGAAATCGATGCGATATTCTTCTGCGCCACTTCGAATGTTTGGAAGTGTGTATCTACTGGACAGAGTGGACGTGGGAGGAATAGATGATGAAAATTAGAAGCTAGGTTATGAGGATATAATGAATGGGAGACAATATCTTAATCCCCAGTTCCTCGATGTTAACCCCCTTTCCAAATTTTTTGAAACAAAATAAACTGTACCTAATATTGTAACTCGTGACTAGGGAGCTTCCATTGTGAGCCTAATAATAGGTACTACAAAGTGGTTGATGCAACTATAAATAACTAATAAAAAAATGCCTGTACGGTGCCTCTATTATTCGAATGAAATTTTCCCCGTTTTTACCCCCAATAATGTTTGCAAACATTTATATTAGGGAAAATGCATCGGTGAATCATTCGATCCATACCGCAGAGATTACCCGAACAAAATTCGGTGTCTGGTCGTTTTGAAGCGTTAGCGTGTTTCAGTGCGTTGACTGCCGCGTCAGGGAGTTCATTAAAAGGCGACTGAAAAGTTTGCAGGCTCGTCAATATAAATGAAAAATGCTTAATCGAATAATGCTGATCGATCCTTCCAGCAATTTATTGTACGTTTTGTCCTTTGTTTGTGTTTCACGAGTCTCCGCCCACTTATTGTAAATTAAATTATATTCGAGAAGTACGTGTACAAATACGTCGAAAGTATTAATCAACCACAGATCAACCTTCTTTCTTACATGATTTTTTCTCTTTTACTTTTTAATATACCGACGTCCGTCTCATGCAAATCAGTCAGTTTTTTCTTCAAATCTTCGATCATGGTCAATTACAATATTTCTAAATTGTTAATACTTTCAGTTTCCATGAAATTGTCTCGGCCACAAGGTGAATACCGCTCATAAATATTCTCGATGCAGCGCAGCCTGCGTAAAGTATCCTCCTTTAGATCATTTTAAAGAGCAGAGTTCGCCTAATACAATTACTAAAGAAAATTCATAAATTCATGAACGTTGCTCTCGTGAATTTTAAAATGCAAAATGTTAACCATTTTTGCTATAACTTGCTTCGACGACTGGTGGAAGGTTGAATATCAAGCGTCAATGGCCTCGTCGTTTGATCTTGTGGTACTACGTTTAATTCGTGCGTTAAACCGAAATTCCACATAATTACATACGCCGAGGTGCATGAAATGGCCTAATACATCGTGTAATACTCTGTTATAACGCGCCAAATAATTAATAGACACGGATCGATACGATACATTAGTGAAATAGAAAATTGCTGTTTGCTCCGGTATGATTGATCTGCGACCTGTACTGACTGAGCATTTTTACTGCAACCTTCTGAACCATGTTTCAAATGTGCCCTATAATTAATAAATTTTTTAAAATAAACAAATTTTACTAAACTGTAAATTTTTAAGATGTAATGTTACAGAGAAATGAAACATATAGTTGAATTGAGTGAAGTAGAAGTACTCTATGTAAGATACTATTGATCAATATTTATAAATGAACACTTACCACGGTGATGGGGTAGACTGGGTTGATAATTGTGAAGAGGAGAACGTGATTTGGTGTATTATTGTCTTCCCTGAAAACAGAAAATTGAACACACCGTTAGATTCCAGAAAATTAACCTCTTTTCGTCGAACATTTTTATTATAGCACTATCTCAACAACTTGATATTATCATATATTATTATCCTCTCCAGAACATGCACACCAATAATCAATTATAATCGTGTTTTGTCTTCATGTATATTTCTACATATCGTATCCGATATTTATATTCCTATATAGCTACTTCCGTATTTTTCCTACAATTTTTTAAATTTAGATTGTAAGACCTCTTGTGTACTTCGAATCGCTGCAAATATTAATCTGCGCGTTCTCCGCCACGCGATTCTCATCGAGCAGTGAAAAATTCCGCATTTCCCGTGGGTCAGCGTTGGGTCGCAGCCAGCCAGGGTGCGCGGAATTGGTGAAATTTTTTTATTAAATCAGAGCGTGCCCCGGCTGGAGTGGGGAGGCGGGAATATTCGATTACTCCAAGAGAAACGGAGGAAAAATTGTACTCCGTAATTTCCTTCCGAGATTCGACGCCTAGCGCGATACAACAGCGAAGCGACTATTGATAGATAGCCTCGCCTATACATTTTTCATGCCCCGACGTCGATGTATTCCCTCTTCCGTCTCTGCTTCGCGACCAATTGGGAATTCAACTGCCTGGCCATTTTTCCCGCGAAAAGGAAGGGGTGCTCTCGCTTTTGCAATTCAAAGCGGCCAATCCTTATACGAATCTGTTGCGCCCCTGCCTCTAAATTATAAAACTCTCCGAGGAATCCGTCTTGACTCGTTAACTAATTTAAGCGAATAAAGTTCGTAGTTACTTTGGATGAGAATTCTATTTAATGCGTTCAATGGTATTAACACTTTGCCGACCGGTAACGTTTGGACACATATATATTTAAATTTTTGGGACGTGACGTGGGCGAATAAGCCAAAAGACTGTGGTAACAATAACGATATTTATTACTATTGGATAGCGCTACTCAGCATATTCTGGTTCATACGTAGCCCAAGCGTTTCGTTATTCCTCTGATCGATCCGAGGTTCTGGCAATCGTCATTTTTATCAATTTGATTATTCCTCCCGGTTATTCCTAAGTGTCAATAATTATATATTGTATGTTATATATTTAACAAAAATAGTGGACATCAGAGTCAACGATAACATTAACTTCAGTTTATGATTTATAGTATGTAAAGTGCAATATGAAATTTACATTCATTGAAAACAATACCTATGTTTCTTTTTATAAGCGAAGAATCTATTTATATAATACGTTTCCAGAATTCAGTTGACTATTATACCAGCAGGATATCCAGATCCCCGAGGTGTTGAGATGGAGCATGATCCACAAGAGGAGACAAGTAGCCTAAGGCCAAACAATACATGCAACTGTACGGTATTGAAAGCCATCGTGCAAAAAAAAAAGAAATATTAAAGCTTCCATTTTGCTGTGCAACTTCCTAAAATAAAAACGAAAAAAAAAAGAAAAAGAAACTACAGTAAAACCCGCAGAAACCTATTTCTGGCTGAAAAGGAAAGAATCCGCCCTTCTAGTCGAATCTTTTTTTACATCCCCCGTGGGAGGGATGAAAACACTTTTACGTAACTATTCCTAGGACCGACCCAGTTGCCAGTGTATCGGTTTTTCGCGGTACGACGTCGTTACAATGGCCCCCAGCGTTAAAAGCGTGGTCCGGGCGTAGAATTGGCTGGTGATAACGGCGTAAAACGCGACGCACACGTCGAAATTAATTGAAACGTAGCAGCCGGTCACCAAAGTTTCAGACTGATCCGTACCCGCCTCCTCGGCTCGGGCCAAGTCTAATAATAAGAAGTTAACTCGAGCGTTAAGTGTGATTCAGAGCGGCGGGAATTCGATATCAGACGATATCCGCTCTATGAACTCGCGAGCGTTAACTTTCCTGTCGAGCTGCGAACGTCGCGGGCGCATGTTGCATCGGAGTCGGACAGGGAGAAGCGGATTCGCGTTTGACAAGAGACGTCTGCAGGGAACGTGGACGTTTCTGTTCGATAATATTCGAAGCTGATTCGATCCTTTGGATAATTATCTGAGATAATAATCTAAGACGATGGTTTGTAAATTTCTTGGTAGATCGAGCTTCCCCCTGAGGAGGATAGAGATTTCTGGGGTGTCAGTAAGAATTTAAAAAAATAAGGTCAATTTGAATTAACGATTTTTCAAAAGAATGAAACATATATTTAAATGCAATTTATCAATGAAACCTAGACCCGTAATTGTTAAGAGAAAACCAAAGTTTCTTCCTACAACGATAGAATACATATGTATAAAATTAATTCTGTACACGTACCTTTTGCGTCGCGGTTCCTCTCCGTACCCTCCATACTCGTGATTCTGAAACAAACACAAACACGTTGGTCAATACAGATTCCATCGAGTCAATTAATAAATTCTTACGCACTTATGTTACTAAAGCAGGCCTGTTTACGTTACGAATCATTGGATCTACAGGAAATAACGAAGGATATATCGAAGTTAATAATCAGTAATATACTAGAGATAATTTCATTTGATTTCACTGATACCGAGTACCGACGAAAATAATACAATTCTGAAGCTGGACATCGCAAATTTGTATCGTTAAGGCGAAGATAAAAATGACAAAATATGATTTGAAATATCACTGTTGTGAATATGTAGCGTATAAAATAAAAAGGTTATCATAATTTTTTCGTAACCAGGAATAGAATTTAAAGTGACGTAAATTCACGTCTACGGTCGCGAAAGTGTTAAAATTGCCAATGATCTAATGCATACTACTTTATATTTAAAATTACAACAGGGAAGGGCAAATAAATTGCTCGACAGAATTGATTCCATATTACAGGTAAAAACTAAACCACTAGCGTCGAAGTACGAACGCGAACACATTGACCATCCGATAAAAAGGAATCAACATCGGGTTTCCAGCATGTCCTGTGAATGGTGAGAGCCCGGTGAATTTCTGCAATTGAATCGCGACGATGTATCCAAAGAGTGCGTACATCAACGTCGCTTTTCCGTACGGCGACACGACGGACGATCGTTTCTCGCGTATTAACTGAAGGTTGCATAAGAGGAATTCATGCTGCGGTTTTGGCCGAATTTTGATGATACGCGATGTCACCAGGGATGCGTACTCGTGCGTTCTATTAATACACGTCCACGCGTCTTTTTACGACAACACCCAAAGCGACGGAAATAGTGCAGCGGGACACATTAGGGACGGTTAGGTGTTGGACCCTAGGTAAATCCTTAAAGCGTCCGCGAAATTTCCCGTCGAAAAACAGTCACTCGAATTCCCCGCATCGCAAACCTCCGCGGATCAACACGTACGTGTTATAATAAATTTCTTTGAAAATGTGTGCGTTAGGAAGCTAAGCGTGGCAGTCAATGAGAGAGTAGATCTTACTGTTAACAATTTTTTAAAAACACTTTCAATAATAATGATTTGTATTGGCTTGTCCAAAAAGTTGGTGGCAATTTTTAAGAAAAATTCCAAGACACATTTGAATTTTGATATTATATTTATTGAATTGCATAGGTACCATTTTGTTCCATTTTGTTTAACCTTTCCACCTTTTAAGGAATGTATAGGGACTTTATAAGGGATGTATTCAGACCAGTACCACCTACCAAAAATCGACATGGACTTTCGTGACAACCCAATAACAATGATATATCTAAAGATTGTATTCATTCGTCCCTCTTAGTATTCGAGTTAATCGAGCAAAAAGATTGTTATCAACAACGGTTTCTCTATCTGAATGCAAAGTGCGTGGAAAAAATTATAGACGGAAGGCATAATTGTCCGGTTACATTTATCATTCTTCGTTTTCCTCTTTCGCAATTTTTTTTTTTTTTTGTAAAACACTTACTCCATTGAATCGAACTTTAATCAATCACAATTGGTTTCCTTGTGAAAAACTTCCTGGCATCGAAGCGATAGGTTTCCTCAATTTATGCAAATTTTATGTAACGAACAATGTTATGAACAGCGCTCCCGATAACATTACGGAACTAATTTAATTTTGTAATTTACGAAGCCAGTCGCTCGAGCATACTTGACGGAAACGTTATTCAGTCAAACCGTAAAAAAGTTTTACGGCCATACTTGCGCAACCGTAATTAACCTCGTAAGTCTTCAATTTTTCTATGGAAATACAAAATTATTCTTTTATACTTCGTGTGGCTCGAGTTACGCAAGGTTCGACAAATTTAATCGAATTATAACATGACAATATATTATTTGCTGTATATATGAACAGCGATATTTAGTAATTTATTTCTGCTGTAAGAACTCATCTAACTGTGAACTAAAACCCCTCAAATGATGAATGAAAATTTTGAGTAAAAAATACACAAGGTTGTTTATATCAAACATAACATATTTCACGATCTAAATAATATTTTAAAGTAGCCTATAAATAGAAGTTATGTGCACGTAATATTAATGACTTTTTTCAATAACAGACACGTACCACAGTAAAAATATTTTTTTAAACGTAGGACTCATTTTTTATGCAAAAGATGACCTGTCCTGCAATAAAAACATTACTTTAAATGTTCCTATTTCACGTAACCCATTACTTTGTATCGAAAAATACATACAGAGATATATACATTGACATGGTCCCGGTACAGAGTCTGAAGGTGAGAAATATTCTGATGTGCACCGCGCCTGAGATATTATTAACATTTATTATTTACCTCCAATCAACGCCAATTATCCGCTCCTGGAAGTCGTTCAAACTTCCACGCAAACGTTTCAATTCTCCCAACGCGTTCATTGTTCCAGCATTCGGTTCTCAGGTATCGCAATCGGTACTTCCAATTTGGCTTTTATTATCATGCACAATGCGGATACGACAAATTGCAGCTACGTCGAGCGGGACGCTTTCGCGTCGGTTATTTTCCGAAGAAAAACCGATAATGCTCGGAAAGAGTGGCAATTAAACTTCCGATTAAACTTCATACTAACGAATAGTACTCGATAATCCTCAACTTTCCGCGTGCTTTCACGCATCGAAAATTGGAGTCCGCGCGGTGGAGGTGGTCCCAAGCAGCTGGGAGGTGAAACATTAAGACTGCCTAATAGGATTAGAGCGAACTCGCTCAGAAGTGAACTTTAAGCACCTTTTAAGGATTATTCCGGGAAAAATACATCAAGTCCTCGAGCTGGAGGACCTAACCGTTGGGGCTGGAACGGATTTCTCAGCGGTGATATCGCGCGAACGGGTAGCTGCAATTCTTAAGGCGTCTCTTAAGTCGAGTACTAAAGAAATCACTTTTGTTTTGATGGATAGAGCAATATTCATGAGATAAGGTAGCTGGATCGATAAAATAAAATTCTAAGCAGTGCTACTAAAAAAGGGCTCTTAAGCTCTTCAATTCTTGCGATGGATGAGGGTTAATTAAACTCCTGTTTACGCTAACTTCGGAGTGTTTGACTGTCTCCTCGCGACGAGACACGCTTCCAAATATCCGCGAAAAATAAAGGAAACGCGGCGCAGAAAGAGTTCGGGGGTCGGGCAGGTGGCCAAGCAAAATGTCGCCGACAAAGAAAAAGAAGAAAACACGGAGTGTTACGGAATGCCCCGCCGACGCGATCCAAGATTTCCGTCGCGGTGTCGTGTAGATACACAGGCCCGCATAGCATCGCCGTTACGAGGCACACGGGGTGAATCCCACGTAGATTCTGTATAACGTTGTTATAAACATAACTCGGCATTGGACGTACGCCAACCACGTGGTTTCACGCTCAATGGATCGCGCCGACCGCGCGAAAAAAATCTCGTCCCGTCCGACGCGACGCCGATAAATTTCCCGCGCCCCGGTAGACGCACGCTTCGATTTTCTCTATCGACGAGACTTCGTTTCCGTCGGCAGGAAACGAGAAATCGGGTTGTTCATCTTTCTGTTTGCTGTACAGGGCGGAATGAAATTGGAATAGATCTTCGGGAGCTGAAGAATTGAATTAAAAACGATGCTAGCAGGTTTATTATGTAATAGAAGTGTGATTGCAAATAGAATCGACCACTTTTACAGTCGAGGTTTGTAAATTAAGAGGAGTACTTTGTAGTATGCGCGAAAATAGGGGAGGTTTAAGTCACCATTTTGCTGTCTGCGATGTTGTTTAAAAAATACAGATCTTCAAAGTTGACAGTTACCAGTAATTTTAACGAAAATTCCCATTGGCATGAAAGGAATTTTATTAAATTCCAGAGGAAACCCGAATATACTTGTATTTATTACATTACCTACGTTTGATACGTTTCGCTAATCTAATTCAAAAGTAATGAACACTCGGTTTATTAAACGTACCTTTCATATTAACGTTCTTTGTGTTATTTGATCCAATTTCGACGTTATACATTCAACAGCCTGGAATCTCTATTCGAAACATTAATGAAACTGCGAATCTGCGTTCACTCGACCGCATTGCTTTAGTAAACAAATTATTCATGAAAAAAGTTCCCATGTATCCTGAATGTACTCGAGTGGGCAACAGAGAAATGGAACATACACGCATACATAAGAACTCTTGGAAATGAAATGAACTAAAAAACTTTGGTAATGAAGTGGAATAAAGTGTAGGTTTTGATTCGTAAATATTTTTCAGCAACAGCGTATAACAGCGTAATAAACAAACCTCTTAAACTGCTGCATTCGAGCGTGTTTAATAACAATATTACCCTATGTGACAAAATTGTTTAAAACCACATGTATAACCTTTCTTGCTTTAGAATACAATTCTTCACGATATCAACTAATTTTCACAGATATTTGTAACTATAATTAAAACATGACTTGAGAAAATAATTCACCACAGAGACGATTTCCACCGCTGACTAATTCATCGATGAAAAGGTCAGAAGGAATAAAACAGGAGCACACGTATCCGAAACGAAATAAAAATAGCGTAACCTCAAAACCTAATACGAAGAAACACGTGAGGGTTGCGTTACGAAGTATCGAGATAAAGGTCTCATAGAAACACTTCTTCCATACAAAGTCCAACAGACAATTTATTCGTTAAATTCGCAGAGCAAGCGGAAGCTGGAGCATAAACGAGTAAAATCAAAACAAGGTGAGGGCGTCGTAGATCATCTTGGAGTCGAGGAGAAAGTCGATTGGCCCGGTGCCAGCCACGCGCTGATAAAGAGATTAACCCCGGGAACAATGCTTATGCTTTGTAATGACTCTGCCTGACCGTCTCGAGTTCGCTGCTCGAAGAATTCATGAAACGATCGAGAAACCGTACCAGGACATTTGATGAATTATTGACGGAACGACAACATCGCTCTACTCGAGAGTTTCTACGTTTTCCCTCGACTTTCTTCGCCTTGATTTGC